TATAAGGAATAACGATAGCATCTAAACTCTCTTTGTCTTTTCGGACCAAAGGACCAAAACAGAAGGACCACATTTCCACGCCAGATCTGCCCCAAAAACATATAAAAGCTGAATATTATACAATCCTTTTGTTCGCAGTGGCCCACTGACATACAGACGAACACAACAGTTATTTATAAACACATTAATTCATTAACATGTGCCTTTTACTCCGATAACGTGAGACAAAGGACCAACGGTAGGCTGTCACGGTCCAGCGAAAACTCGGTACAGTGTTGATAATGGTTCAGACTGCCTCACTGGTTTTATGGCAGTTTAGTAGTACATAGTTTCTAAAATACTCATAATTTTAAAAGCTTGTACTAAAAATTATAAATTAAATGATAAATTCGGATTTTCCATGTACCTACGGCTAACATATAAACCACATGCAACCAGTTTTTCCTGATCTCATTCTCCACGACTTTTCTCAATATTCAACGGTCAATTTATACTGGTTTTATTCCGCTTGATGTGTAGCCGTACTACATACGGGTGTTTTAAGAAAGAAATTGCTTATATTTTCTCAAAAAGTATCTAGTATTCGCCTAGCTTTGGTATTGATATTTTGTAATTTATAATGCCCAAAAGTGAGCAGAAATGGTACATCCATATTTTAGTTGGTTGGTATCATACCAAAATATGCACTACTTATTTGTTTATTTGAAATGTATCTAGTAACTAAAAGTCATCTCGGTACATACTAGCCGGACGCAAGCAATAATAATACGCGGCCCTGGCTTAAAGCAGAAGAAGAAAAAGGGGTGATTTTTAGTCAGAAAGAGCCTGAAAGTCCCTCTCATTTGAAGATTTTCCAACCAGAATAAAAACACTACCCTTCATAAATAAGACAGTCACGTTATATCTGGACAAGAATACGAAATCAAACTCAAAAAGCCAACATAACTTACACGCCAACCACCCAACATAATTTACAATTCGAAAATCATGCAAATGCTTCACATCTGCATTCGCAAACCGCATACAATGTAATACTATTTCCCAAGAGATCCAGTCTAAGCCTTCTATCTGTAGAGTACAGCAATAACTTAACCCTTTCTCTTTTAATTTCCGTGGTGTACAATAGTCCCATAGACGTGTGCCTACAGTCGGAGAAAGCCCACAACAATGGCGTGCGAGGTGACATATCGAAACCAATCTGTAACGCACGATGGGTTGAGGAATGGAGTTGCTGTGAGGTATAAAGATTTTTATTATTATTTTTTTGGATTGCCAGCCGACACACACACACAATTTAAGTTATTAATACTAGCATGCACTTTAAATTATAGGCAACCACATCATTCACATATTGTATGAATGGGTAAAACAGGCTTGATAAGGGAAATTTAGCGTTACAATATTCTTTTCTGGAAACAAATAATCTGTTTAAAAATATATATGAACGACCAGCTACATAGAATTCATAGATAATATTCAAAATATATACACAAAAAACCGGCGTAAAAGAACCACAGCGGTGTAATTTGCCATGTGAGTGAGGTAACCAGAGGCCCAACCCGGGATTGATTCTCCTCAACTATCATCTCAACCCAAAAATCGCCAAGTCCCCAATTCCTAATCCCGGTCGAGACGTCGAAGGTCGAGAAAGCACTCATAACTCCTACACTGTTTCGGGCGTCCACGGGTGGCGCTGATTGATTACCAATAAGATTAGATAGATCAGTTTTTTTTATAATATGACGATTTAAACACATATATAATCTGAGTCGAGTTTGTTTCATTTAGTTATTTTAGTTAAGTTTGGCAGAGCCATGCCAATAGACCGGCAACGCACTTAAATGTTACTATACATATAAATCTTCCTCTCCAATCACTCCATCTATAATAAAACAGCAACAAAATTAATAATAGTTTTAAAGATTTAAGCATACAGGGGATGTAAGGGACAAATAAAGGGAAAAAAAAAAAAATACACATTTTTATAAATCAAGTAACGAACTATCCTCAAGCCAAAACTATGTTCAGTTGGCATTTACTCTTAAAAGAAAAATATTTACATGTTACTCGACTCCACACCGCCATTGTTCATCTGTTCCGATCTGCACAGAGCGGCGCGAACCGATGCGGAACTGTTGCCTCATAGCGAACACATTTTCACTATTCCGCTATTGAGATTATTTATTGTAATATATCAGTAAAAGGATTGTGTTCGTGTTACATATACAATATATGTTGCTTTATTAACCACGCAATATACAAAATTTTATGCGGTGGTGGCCCGGAGGTTTAGCATCCCGCTTCTCATGCATGAGGGAATCGAAACCTGACAAGTACATACCAATGTGACTTTTTCCGAGTTAAATGTACTTTCTATAATTATTTAGACACCACTGACATACGGTGAAGGAAAACATCGTGAGGAAAGCTGGACTTATAATTTCTAATTATAAGTTTAAAATCGCCAAGCCGCATTGAGCAAGCGTGGTGATTAATGCTCTAACTTTCTCCGTATGAGAAGAGGCCTTTGCTCAGCAGTGGGCACTTATAGGCTGATGATGATGATGATGATGATCCCATATATATTGCTTTAGTAACACATGCAACATACAGTATATTAATTCTGCTTGCTTCAGGGAACCAATAGACTCAGAACTAGCCTAACAGGGCTGATGTTCAGCTGGGGTTGTAAATCAAGAGCAATAACGTACCGCGGCCTCGGCCTGGACTTGGAAAAAGAACGGGGTGGTCTGACACTCCCTCTCGCTACATCTAGGGCGAAGGAAGTCATTTAATAAATTGAATTTAGCTGTAAGGTGGTCGCGGTGACTAGGAAACCGGCTACTGTGGAGGCTAAATGGGAGAAAAGATATACAATTTTGGCTCATCTCAAGATAATGTAACGTATCTAGTATCACGATATTATTACGAATTGAACTTTGAAGAAGACCTTACCATCTGACATCAGTTGAGAAACGTCTCTGTCACGATAAGTACCTATCGAGTGACAAGCTAACTGTAGTCGCCTATGATTTACGGCATTCATTTGTAGTTACTTCCATCTAGCAATAATATCTTATAATGATAATAGTTTTTTACCTTTAGAAGAAGCTGTCTACTGTCGAGCAAAAACTTTAACTATTAAACATTATTCCCCACAGTATAAGTTCAGGTTTCCTGAAGATGTTTGAGGAACATGTAACTCGAAAAAGATCACATTGGTACTTGCCAATGAGATTTTTACAAGCCTTAACTACTGGGACACCACGCTGGATACCTGACGATAAGCTATTCTGGTGTAGTTACAGCCAAATGATGTAATCGTTATCGAATACCAAGTATAAATTAGATCCGCTGTCTAGATTTAAGAATAAAAATCGATTTCAATTGCCCTGTTTAAAAGAGGTCTGACCTATTATAGGCTTTAATATAGGCCTTCTTCCCACGACGACGATACATTTCTTGCGGGTGTAAAACCATTTTAAAGTCTATCATGACCAAATATGGTAATGTAAGCTGAACCCATTTTAGTGACTTCGAACACGACTGAACTTAGAAACTAATTTTATACCTATATATAATAAGAAATACGGTTGATAAAAAAAGATCACAAAAAGAAATGTTTCGGTTCATATGATTTTGATAATAATGTGAAATTTTCTTTAAAATAGGGACCAATAATATTTGCAAGACTTGAAGATAGAGGTGACCCTTTTACTTTTAAAAGTAATGAAATTACGAGGTCGCATACAGTTCCCTTTAAGGAGGAAAGGCACTAAAACATAACACTCGTTTTTTTAGGCACTCGAATAAAAATTGTACCCATTTTGCCAGATACAAATATAAATTATCTTATTCTCACCTTACTAATGCTTTGCCACACTAACGGATAATGCCAATAATTACCGCGATAATTGATGATATTAAACAATATAAAATATAGTTTGAATTAGGGATCTATATCTCGTCCCACTTGGAGCGGGAGAAATCCTTGGATGATTTCCTACACTTCCAAAAAAGATACCTAAGAAACAAAACTTATTTCAATAGTTTGGAATACAACAAATACTCCACTAAAGAAAGCTTAAAGGATAGGACTTGTTCTCACAATGAGCAAAACCCATCAATTAGCATCAGACACTACAACGAGTAGTAATACTAGTTACTAAAAACTAACATTGCAGGATACACGTACCCGATCCCACGAGACAAACATACAGACAGTTTTTATTTAGTACAACATTAACATTTTAATTGAAATGAAAGTAAAATCCGTTGCTATAACAAACAGCTGACACAGTTTGGGAAAATAGTTTTTACAATTCCGAATTGCAATGGACTAGTGCTGGGTATGTGTCGATGATTTCATGTTGGAAGTTACGGAACGTAGGCGTTCGTCTAAGTTTAATTATATTTTTTTCTTAGTTGGGGATTAATGATGTGTGTTGATATTAAAATTATTTAGTATTATATCATGATATATTATATTAACTTTTCAGTTTAGTTTTTTGGTCTTTTGGTAAATAGGTTGTAAAAATACTAAAATTGTTGAGATTTACCTAACCTTAATAGTCAACCCCATAAAGCTTAACTTACAAAATTATTATTTCTGCATGCCATTTTATAATAACTATGATAACAGAATAACAAAAAAAACAGTTGCAGAAAAAAAAGTTTAATCATTATAAACCAAACGAAAATAGAATTATGCTGCAGCAATAACAAACGCACCAAAAAAGCCTAACAACATCGATAAACCCCCAGCACTATCTAACACTTTGTTCTGTATCTGTTGCACTAATCCGCGCAGTCGCATGCCGCGAAACCACGCGAACTGCCGCTCGCTACTACGCGGTAACCGCCGTAAATAATAATACGATACTTTTATCGTTCTAATAAAAACTTCTTTCAAATAGGCTGTAAGCATGTAAACTTTTGCCTAAATACTTAAGTAACTGAATCTGTCATTAAAGCGCGGGAAAATTAAAAAAAAATGGCGATTTTTTTAGGAAATTGTTAAAGTTTTAAGTTTGTATTTATTTAATTTAAGATGTGAAGCTCTTTTTGATTGTTAGTTAATGTGTTTATTTAAATATGGTGATGTACTGGAGGAAAGTGATTTTGGCGGCTGCCTTGTCGTCTATTTTGGATGTCAGCAGTGAACAATTTGGAAGTGACGTAAGTTTTATCATTTTAAAAATATTTACTTTTTATTTTACTGTAATCTTAATTTACGTTGCTTAACTAGTTTGCAAATTATGATTTCTTTATTTATAATTGAAAATACACGTTTACCAAAATTTGTTTACAATTTTAGCCCAGTTCACATTCAGTAACATTGAAGTCTGTTTCTTGTTTTTTCTTTTATTTGTTATTTTTTATAATATAACCTGTTTGAATGCGTGATAAGCAAAATAAGAAAAATAACCCTATTCATTAGATCATCATTTACTTTTCTCGATCGTTATTTAGTTTTAATTCTGTTATCAATAGCAATAGAAACGCTTCGGTTTCTTTCTTTTTTATTTTCCTGTTATAGAATTTATTTCCTTATAATTTCAAAGCATGTTATAAAATAGGGTCTCAATTATGACAAGGAGACAACGGTAGTACCTAATACTGTAGTTTCAACTAGTCAAATTCAATACTTTTATCCAATGTCAAAAACGATACTTTTCTATGAAATTTTGTATGAAACACTGAGTTATGATGTCATAGTATTTATGCGTCAAATAGCTTACTTATTTCTTAAAAATTAACTAAAAATTAACTTAAATTTAGTGTATTGATCGATCGATGAATAAAAGTATAGGTAGTTATTATTCAACATTTTATTGTATAGAAATGTCGAATTACCTAATTTATTATTGACCTAGGAAACTACCCAATTATGAGAAGGCGACGACGGTAGTAATTGCGTACGAACGATAGCTCACCTTTTTTGACGGTGAAATATCGTTAAATTTCTTCTCGTCCTACGTTCTGCGAGAGTGTCAGTCTCTAACTGACTTAAAATCATCCAGTTCCTTCTCCTGCTCCAGGCCGGAGCTACGGGACATTATTGTGCTTGAACCTTAAACATGCAAACTTTAAAGTAAAAAATCTCGAAAACTTGGAATGCATACACAATATATTAATATATAAATACTTAATTATGAGTTAGTGTGCCATTTACTCACATAAAAATTAAAATATTAATAATTTTTTATCATGAAATTTAAAAAGGTCTTTTTGCAGCTATTCTTGATCATAATAAGCCGTATTTTTTTATTCTTACTCACATTTTTTGTGGTACGTATATAAAACAATTTTTGCTACAATTTTTGCGGTACATTAAAGAAAATAACCGTTGGTACACTTAGCATATTACGCCATTTCATAGTCCGGAATAGACCATAAACTCATGTAATTACAATTTTGTTTATCTTATTCTGCTATCTAGTTTTTTATGTCGATATGACTGAATAGTTCGGTTTGTTTGTTGTTACAAATTGTAATAAGCATTGTATAGATATGGTTTTTTAGCTTATAGACATTTCAAAATACGCCACTTACATATCTCTAAAGTTGTGAATTGAAAAATTTTTTAGTTAAACAAAATTGAAAACAAACTTCTTTCTAAAAAATTCTTTACATAAATCCTATATATGTACGAACAAAAATATACGATTACCTAAACAATTTATTAGAAGCCCAAAATTCAATGAATACCAAAGAATTTTTTATCTACAAGGTCACGGTCAAAGACTCACAAACTCAAGCATTCTCATTAGTCGTATTGTATTAGCATAAAAGGGCTGATTTTTCAATGGCTAGATAAAAAGTTCTGGAGATCAACAAACATTTTAATGCGACAGCATCTAAGAATCTGGAGAATAATTATTATGATGCTGTCGCATCAGAATGTTTGTATAAGACAGTAATAAGACAGCAACAATTTTATTCCTCAGATAACATTTATCTGACTCTTGAAAAATCAGACCTTAGTCTTGTAAAATCTCACAGATATAATCCGAATATGTTAGTGTGTAACTTAACAAAACTTTCATGGTGTACCATGGTGTGGTCGTTTGTACTTTGGGATTGTTTTTTTTTTAAACAATCTTACCTACTTGTGTAATATGCGAAGGTTTGTTTTATTTTGTAACAATACTAAACAATCCTCAAAATTAACATTCGATAACCACATCAAACAACAACATTACCAGTTAAAAAAAACTTATAAAACTACTAAAATTGTCTGCAGTAGCACATAACCTGGAGCTATTTAATTTTTTTTAGAGTTAAAATAAAAAAAATCAGAAATCATTTATTCCAATATTAGAACCCTACAGGCACTTTTGAACGTCAAATAAAATTTTGAAGATAAGTATAGTGTCAGTCTGTTGGTCAGTCCTGTTAGTGAAGCTCGTTCCAAAGTGTAGATTCCGATGGAGAAGAACGAGCAAGAAACTCCATGGTCACTCTTAGATGATTTCTTATAAATCTCAGTACAAGAGACTTTGGCATGACATATGTCTCCCTTTTTGCTTTTTCTCTCCTTATTATTAAATTTATATAGGTATTATCCTTATATAAACATATAGTAGAAATGGAAAATTTGAAAATTTAATTAATTTCATTGGTCATACCCTAATCCTTATTAAACTAAAAAATGCTTCTATCGATTTTCAATGACATTAAACATTTGCCAAAGAATTACTTACGTGGGCTTAAAACTCCAACGACGACCTGTACCTTACCTTATGTAAAGAAAAAGACAAAAAAACTCAGTTCAAAGACCCTATTTGAAGACTTTTATTTGACTACATCCTTAAGTATGGCGTTTAATATTCCGTAGCCGTCTTGAAGCTCAATTGTTGATTCTATCAGGTAAAATTCGTTAGACATTAACATATAAGGATGGTTGAAACTTATTTACGTAATAAATGCTAGAATTTTTCATTGATTTTCCACGCAAAAGGATTGTGTGAGGTTTCATTTTTCTATTTAACTACTTACTAAGTTTCACTAATCATGTCACCATTTGCATCTATTTAAATTGAAATAACTAATATTTAAATTACTTTTAAAACATATTTGCCAAACAAATAAGACTGCACAGTTTACGCCGCGGCTAGGTAGCAGTGCAGATCAACGTGTCGCGTTTTTGATTCCTGCACGGAACGACTCTTTGTCAATCCATAATTTACTGTTTCATGTCTGGGCGTGACGGGTGTGAAAAAAATATTTTTCTAAAGCACCTGAAACACAGGTTAGATCCTAGTAAGGTTTTTTGGTCAGTAAAAAAAAATGCTCTTAAACAAAAAATAACCAAAGTTTTACTTTAGAACTTCCGTGGTTGCGGTGCATGTGGAATGGCATACCCCTGTCTAACTCGGAGCAGGAGTTAAAGTGATAGTTTTTTGTCATAGCCTTTCTAGCACGAGACGACCCACCTAGGGTGGGAGGAGCACAACGATGATTTTCTCGCTTAAACAAAAAATCATCTTCAGCACTTGGGAAAACACTTAGGCAGCTCGCCAAAATATTTAAAGGCTTACTGACTAAAGGCTTACAATATTAACTACATAACTCAAATCCATACATAACATTTGAAGGCCTAGTAAAATAATAATTACATACAATAAAACACTTTCAGAAAATCACAATACATGTGACACACACACAAACAAAATTCCTAGAAATACGAATGCCTAAGTAAAATCTCTATTAGCACCGAATTTAATCCTAAACACGTCCCTTACACAATAACCGCTAGAACCCGGGACTTTCTCACAATGTGCAAAACTTTCATTATGTACTCGAGTCACGTTTGACAAGGATTACATAATGTCTACATGAGACCTTTACCTCTTGCCCGTACTTTATACAGAAACATGCCCAATTGTGTGGGTACAATAATTTATTGTGATCTTGCTTAATGTGTATGTATAATTTCGTTAAACTGCTAAGCAGTTAGGTTGTCTATAGAGCCGAAAATTTTGCTGGTTTGAATTAATCTTCAGAGCTACTGGTTCGAATTAAACAATTCATTTTTCTTTTTTTTTTTTGAGGCTAATAGCCTCCATTTTCTTTCTGTTACCCTGGATAAGAAGTCCTCTCTTCCTAGTGTCAGACTTTTACAGACTAACACCACTCCGTTCCTTCTCCTGCTCCTGATTAACCCACAAACCCGGCTGAAATTATTTGTCGGATAGTCCAATCTATCGAGTAAAGGCCACAACGCTACGATCAACAATTTCTTTAAATTTTCAAAAACAAATGCTACACTGTATATACAGGCTTCTTAATAATGCTAGTATGTACAACAAACAATTTCATTTAAATCCGTCCGTTACTTCTGGAGCTTAACGAATGCAAACAAACAAACATACTAAAAGTTTTTTAATCATAAAGTACTATTTCCTTTTAAAAATATTTAATGTACCTAGATACGTACTTTTTAACATTCCTATTATGTGCCTAGATACAAGCCCGATATAAACTATAATTGCGCAAACAGATGTCAAAAAACTCATGTGGGCAGCGCTTGGTGACTCGTACGAGATAAATAACTACTATTACAATTTAAAGTACTAATCGCATGTAGGTTGGTCTGTTGGTCTTAAATCAGAACCGGTAGCAATAATGCCGGGTAAAGTAGCCCATTCCGGGGGTCACGGTCTAAGAACAATGAGAGGAATTCGTTTAGAATTTGATGGTGACAACCTTGACATGATAGTTAATAGCCTTAGGTTAAAAGTTGAACGGAGCAAGTGGTCGCCTGATCTGATATATTCCGTGCGTTTTTGATAGCAAAGGGCAATTGGGCTATTTTACGTACGTCACTGTAAGGGTAGGCCAACTGAAAACCAGTGTTGGGTTCTTATTGAGCCCAACTTATACTGAGATGGCAACCCTTTTGGCATGGGTATGCTGTTTTCTTGTTATGTTTAATATATTTTATATTATTATAAGCACTTGTTTATATTATTTTATTTATATTATTTTATACGTTAAGAATTATTTAAGTTTCTAAATTTAACATTGTTGTATTATTTTGTTTTTTATTTATTTTTTGGTACCTTTTTTATTGTTGTATTATTATTATTATTTCCTAATTATTGTACCTACATATCGTTGCTTTTTTTCTTAATTGTTCTTTCTTTCTTTCTTTCTATTGGTATCATGATTGT